TAAATAATCATTCTGCCAAAAATTTTTTTTTACTAGATGTTTCAAAATTTATAAAAACAGCTATAATATTGAAATGCACTTAATTTATTTATTTATTCTACCCAAATTAGATGCTGAATCATTAATTTTAAAACCCTATTAAGAAATTTTGAAATTTCAGATACTTAATTTCGATTTTTCATTTGTACTTCATAATAATTTCAATTTTAAAGCCTTCATTTATTCTCAATTTTTATCTAATTTTTTCAAATTACTAATAATTAGCTAATTTATAATGAAATTATAAAGATCACATATTTAACAAGAATTTCTATTTCATGTAGAAACATTAATTACTGAAAAGTTCTGTAAATTTAACATAAAGATTCATTCAGTACTCACTTTCAAATATTGCACTATTATAATTTGCTATTGAAAAGCTTTTACTGTTATGGATACTCTCTCGAAAGTATCAAGTTATACAGAAAATATACAATTAGCAACAACATAAAACTAATTTTATTGATGATCTATATACATTCTTTCATAAATGATAGTATGTGAATAATAGCACAATAAACAATAACATAAATAAAATTATTTGATATCTACAATAATACTATAATATCATATAAATGATAATATACTCAAAAAAAAAAAGAATTCAGAATAAATAAATAAACTAGCAACTCTTTCCAATGATCATTTGGACCAAAATTTCCTACGAAAAAAAGTTAAGTTTAGATACTGGAGAAGTAGAAAAAACCTGTAGTAGGTGGACAACAGTGCAGTTTTTATAAAAATCAACCTTTTGTGCTTTTATAGAGACTTCTTTATATATTTGACATGCAAGCTGAAAGTGTCTATATACAAGATAACTGGCTGGAGAAGTGTGTCCTTGTATATAAAATTTTGGTAGAGATTTTAGAGTTTCTCTGTCGATTAAGCAACCTGTTGCGAAATAACTGGGAAACAGTGAAGAACTTGCTATTCTTAAGCCACACTCTTTTATTTGGCCAAGTAACTCCTCTCTTACTCACTTCTGCTTTCCTGCTAACCTTCCAAAATTTTTTCAAAAAAGTGGGGATTTGGCTTATCCCTCCAAAAGATTGGCATTGTTTACTTTCTATTTTCAGACGAACTTGGTAGATTGCAACTACATGTTTGTTTATTTGAAAATACAGAGCTACTCCACATAACAAGATCGGGTCCCAGATTAAAAAGATATCTGATATGGGATATTAAGTCGGAAAAAAAGATTATATTAGAGATATACAACAGTTGTAGTTGTTATACAATTTTTATTAGCTTGGTACAGGTTATAATAGTGCTTTTGTATTTCTTTTATGTATGTCATGCTATCTTGTCTCTTTTTGTGCTTCTTCTATCTTTTTCTCTTTATGATAGAATCTTATTTAAGATATATTTTTTCGTATATATTTCTTTTTTTTTTGTTTTTGTCTCTTTCTTTTCTAAATTTTGTTTTTCTTTGGTAAATTCGGAATGTATTTTTCTCTTATAGAAAACTAAGAAATAAACTATTCTGCTTGGATCTAGGCAGGAGAAGTTTATAAGAAAGGATAAATGGTCATGATGAGCTAGTAGATCCCGGCCAGTGATATGTGAATCTGAAATCTGAGGTAGATCTAGAAGAAGCAAGGAGGCTGCTTCTGCTCTGGCAGGTCACATATAGGTCCAATTGAAAACCAGGTGAATCGCACTTTAGTATAAAACAGCTTGGCTGTAATTAAATAATCAAATGTAAAAATTTGTTCCATTTATGTTAAGTAATAAAGTTGTAGTATGATCCTTGGAAAAAAAATAAATAAATAAAAATAAATAAACTAGCAATGCTACATGTAGTGGGTGACTTTGTCGCCTATTTATAGTTTTAAATCATAATTAATTATAATCATATATTCGAATTAAATTATCAGTGTATTGGTTAGCAATTATATATTGATAAATTTATCAATAGAATTTATTTCCAGTTGCTTTTTTTAATACAAATAGGTTATTAAAAATTAAACTGTATAGTCAAAGTTAAATTGATTAAATGTATAAGAACTTTATTTACAGGCTTTCATTGGAGTCACTCAATTTCTGAATTTATATTTGAAATAATTTCATTATTATTGTATTCTTGCACATCCTTATAAATATGCAATACTATCAAATTAATAAATGAAAAAACTTTTTTCTGATATTTGGGTTTAAAAATAACCAATTATGGGTTGGAATACATTACTTCTTGTCAATTGATTAATTTTACTCAAGATTACTAAATAATAGTCAATTTATTAAGTAAAAATGACCAACTGATAATATTGTTATAAACTTAGTTAGTTAGTATTGTTTATACTAGCCCAGCTTTAATGATCTCTAACTCAGAATTCAGAATAACCTGTAGAAGTTTATATGTAGAACATTTGCAATAATTTGATCTGTGCTAATTTTTTAGACTGTTCTTAAGTAGCACTTAATATGATTTATTAGCAATAACAAAATTCATATTTTAGCAATTATCCTGGTTTGATTTAAATAATCTAGTGTGATGGATAGTGCTTTGCACCACTATCTTATTTATTATTTTTGTATTCATATTGGCAAGTTACTGTAAAAAAATCTATTATAGTACTTAGTATGTGGTTAAATTAGTTTGTATTGGAATTATTGCGATTTCTATTATATTTACCTTAAAAATTCAGTTATAGAACTTGCACACACAGTGGTTAAAGTTAAATTGGTTTTTATTACAATTATCATAAAAAAATTTTGTTGCAAAACTCACTGTTCCTATAATTACAAATTAGTTTCATTGGAATTAACATGATTTCCATGTAGTTAAAATTTAGTTTGAATGGAATTATCATAATTTCTATTGTAGAATTGCTGTAAAAAATTGTTACAGAACTTACTCGCATTAGTTTGCATTTGATTATTATGATTTCTTTATAGTTAAAGTTGAACTGATTTGTTTGTAGTGGAATTATTATAATTTCTATTATAAAAAATTTAGTTACAGAACTTGCTATTCTGGTAGTCACAGTATGGATTAAGGTTAAGTTAATTTGCATTGGAATTATCATAATTTTTTTACTGTAAAAATTCTATTACAGGACTTGCTATTCTTATAACCAAAATATATTATTAAGGTTGAGTTAGTTTGCAATGAAATTTTTATAATTATTATCATAAGTGACTACAAAATATTCTGTTATAAAACTTACTCTATTCTAGTAATACACAGTATATAGTTAAGATTGAGTTGGTTTGTATTAGAGCTATGTATTATAATTTCTATCATAGAGTTACTGTAAAAAAACTAATGTGGCATATGTAGTTAATATTGAATTAGTTTGTATTGAAATTATTATTATTTCTATCATGAGTCACTGTAAAAAAATTTCATTACAGTGCTTGCTATTCTGGTGACTACAATATGTAGTTAAGGTCGATTAGTTTTATTAAAATTATCATTATTTCTACCATGGGTTATTGTAAAATTATTTTAATCATATCTAAATTGATTAGATTAAAATATGCTAAATACCAATACATAATTACAATTAGACTATCTTATTTGCAACGTAATCATATTTAGATATCACAAAATGAGCACAATCCGCCCATGTGAAGACATCAAAATAGTAAATACTTAATGACAAATAAATACTTCAGCATAGTTACATTTTATTTCCTAGCGATCGTTTTCTTTACAGGTCATTGTCTGGCATTACACAAATGGCAATATATGGAGGTGAGTCAATAGAAATCAAGCAAATTTTTTATAATAAAATTTTTTTACAACTTCAAACAAGAATAACTTAATGAAACCTTGACCAAATTTAATAAAAATTTTTTTAAATAATTTTTACAAACTTGTAGAATTAATTTAAAAAAAAATTTATTAAATTTGATTAAGTTTTTGTAAGTTATTCTTGTTTAAAGTTTTTAAAAAACTTATTAAAAAAAATTTGCTTGATTTCTATTGACTCAACCCTATATATCTGCAGCCAGTGTGATGTCGGATAAATGACTTGTAGAGAAAATAACACACAACTTTACCATGCTATCTGGGTTAAAACAGGCACACATTAGGGCTTAGTATCCTACCATAGGCTATGATTGAACCAACCAAATCAGAACATATTCTTCAGTGACAATAACAGACACAATACGTAGAGAATATGTGACACATTATCTACTTTTTTTATTACATGTCACTTTACACAAAAAAGATCAAATTCTTTCGTTACGATTTTTCGTTATGTCCTTTGACAATCACCAATTATCAGTTTATCATACCGGCAAAAATCAAAAGAAAAAAAAAAATACCAAAAAGCTCAGAAAATATAAATATAAATATCAATTAAAATAGACACAAGTGCAAAATGGATGTTTTTTTTTAATAAAATTAAGTTGTTTTAAATGTTTCAAATTCTTTTTTTTCCTAGCATAGTATTGTATCTAATATCATATCTATCATATCTATCATATTTAATATATATATAGTAATGGCGGGTATAAAAATTTCCTTTTATAGATTAAGAGGAAATTGCATAAACAAATTAGGTAAGATGGACTTATTAAAATATTGAAATAGAAAAGAAAAAACAAAAACGAAAATACATGTAAAGAAAAAATAATAATTTAATTTAAATATTAAAGTACCAGTTCCCTTTTCATAGTGATTAAGTGACGGATCCTTATTAAGTCGCTGGAGTAAATTTGTGACATTTTCGAGTTGGCTCTTAATTTGACTTATTTCTCGATTAAGAATATTTATCTGTTGATTATTTTCTGCGAAAGATGCTTCCATAGACTAGATTTTGATTTATTTATTTTAAATATTAGAATTATATATCAAGTTGCAGATTGTTGGAATGCTAACTAATCCTTAGGGTTGATACATCTAGCAAAACGCATCACTAAAAGGATTGGTTAGTTTCCTACATTTGTGTCACAATGGACAATTCATATACCTTGACTATCTTATTCAAAATATCGTTATCAATTCTTCATTGTTCATCAAAAATGACGGTCATCACGAAACCCAAATCCTTCATACGAACTTCGTATTCTTCCATTAATTCGTTAAACTTTTTTCCTATGCTTGTGGCGTATAAAAATGTCCCAACGCCTCTTAGCTGTGTCACCTCCTCTGCAAATACTTTAATTTTCTCCAAAGAGTCTTGAAATTTAAGAAATGACTTTTGATATTGCAAATCTTGAAAATTTTTATCGCATTTGGTCCGTGATTTCAAGAGATTTATGGCTGCTTCAATAGCAACGATGCGATTAATTATAGATCCAGTAACTTTTTTATTAAATTAAGCTTTCTCATGGATTGTAACTATATCTTTAATTAAAGTAGTGATAATGCTGAGTATTGGGATGATCAGCGATAATATGTTGTTGGCGACATTAACCGCTGCTTCTATAAAATCTCCCAGTTCTGGTTTGATGTTCAATACGGATCCGAAAGCAACATCTTCTTTTGTTGTCATTATAAATGTAATCGATCGGTAATAATAAATAATTCCAATTATATATCAATTTATTTTATGATTTCTATTTGTACATGATATGTATGTACAACCATATATTTATTGCAAAAATTTTAGCATAAACTATAACCTCCTCTAACCCTAAAGCTAACTCTTACCATAACAAAATTTATATGTACTATATACGCTATGCAAATTAATATTATAATCTTAATAATTTTTTTGTTTCTTGGCTTATTTCATACTTTTGAAATATAATGCACAGACTACCTAAATCAAATCTCTTGATTGGCAATCAACACCTTCTCACGTTACACTTAATAATATTAATAGGAAAAAAATTACCCGAAAAGATAGAATAAAAGAATAGTCAAAAAAATGAAAAAAAATTAATCGGGAAGAATTATAAATTCCGAAAAAAATAAAAATAAAAATAAAAAGAGAAGAAATAATAATAAAAGAAATTGAAATAAGACTCTTTAAGCGCGTTTAAATCTATTCTTAATTAAAAAATTAGAATCATGTGGATCAATGAAAAAACGCAGCCAGAATTCGAAGGTTGAGAAGGAAACTTTAAAAAGACAGAAAAAGAAAAAGATTAATAAAAGAATAGTAAAAAATTATAAAAAAGAATAAAAAGTAAAACTTTAGTAGTCTGTTTTTTTTTTTTTTTTTATAAAGAGACACTTATGCTCTTTATAAGATTATTATCCAAGGTTATTGTGTGAGTTTTTAACAAACTAAACCACAAGTGTTTTACTTTGAGTTTTTAACGAACTAAACCACAAGTGTTATACTTTGTGAGTTTTTAACGAACCAAACCACAAGTGTTATATTTTGTGAGTTTTAATGAACTAAACCACAAATGTTATATTTTGTGAGTTTTAACAAACTAAACCACAAGTGTTATACTTTGTGAGTTTTAACGAACTAAACCACAAGTGTTATACTTTGTGAGTTTAATGAACTAAACTACAAGTGTTATACTTTGTGAGTTTTAACGAACTAAACCACAAGTGTTATACTTAAACTAAATAGATAGATGAAATTTTCTTATTATCGGGGTAAAATAAAATAAGAAAAAAAATTTATCAGGGTAAAATAAAAAAAAAAAAAAATTTATTGGGATAAAATAAAAAAAGAAAAAAAATTTATTGCTAGAGATTTATAGAATTTTTATCCAGCAATTGTTTTTGTAAATTTTATTTTCATGGCAAGTAATGTGGCAATTTTTTAGAAAATTCTATATTTGATTTATTATCGTGGCAAGTAATGTGGCAAATGTAATTTTGTAATAGAATTTTTTTATCATGGCAAGTAATGTGGCAAGTAATATGGCAAAGCCGACTCACAAAATTTGGTGAATACCTTTGTGATCAATGCCAACAAACAAACAAATTTGGTGAATACCCTTGTAGTACAAATAGTCTAAAAATGCATAAGCATAGAATTAATGCAAGAGTTATTTAATATTTTACGTTCAAGGGGGAATGGATAATGATCTTCCTATTTCTTATTGGTAGAGTTGGGGGCACGGGGGTGTGATTTCAAATTGTCACACAGGCACGGGGACGTTAGGGTGATCATCATACTAGTAAAATCAAACCATAAGTAGGGTTACATGTATTATTTATTATTGAGGATTTTTTACTAGTTTTTTTAATAATTTTGGAAAATTCAGAAAATTCACTTTTACAGATTATTTTCTTTATTTAGCAAACAAACTATCAAATAATTTTTCTGCTTTTATTTCTCCAAATATTACCTGTTCTTTATTTTCCCGTTCATCTAATTTTCTCTTTCTATTTTTTCTTTGAGTTGCAATTCTTCATCCGATATAGATATTTTTTGACACCTAAAAGGCATAGTTTTGCTTTTTTGGTCTCAAGATTCATGTTTGTATGACACTTGAGATTATATTTATTAAATAAACCCTCAACTTGCTACTGATGAATTATGATATAATAAATTTGACATTTTACAAATTAATATAATAAAGGAAAAGTGTGAATTGGTAATTCATTAGAATTAGCAAAATCTAATAGCTCTTTTAAAAATAATGAATTGTCAGTTGCCTGTAACAAGCCAAAATTATTAGAATTGGACTGTTCGATATCTGATTTTAAAAGAGTTGTATAACACAACTCTTTAAGACTAGGAATTTTGCTTCGTTTTCTTTTTAATCTTACATGTAAATAACTTCTAGCAAATTCACGACCATATTTACCACCTAATCGGCAAACACTTAATGGAAGGTAAAGCCACATACCCATCCAAGTTTCTAAAGAGTTTGTGGCTTTATCAATACTAAATACTAAATTATTAAAGAAATTTTCAAAACCCTTATCTAGTGTTTGCATCGGACCGGACCGAATCAAACTTTACTTAAGTTTTAATTCAGTTTGATTTTCAAATCAAACTCAGACTTAAACTTATTTGAAAATAAAGTTTAGTTCAAGTCCGATTTTAAACTTTTTTTGTTAGTTCAGTTTGGTCTAAAGTTTGGTTCAAAGTTTGCAAACTTGTTCGGGTTCGATTATTATTATTCGAATAAATTCATTGGACATATTATAATTATTTTATTCTCTTTTTTTTATTTTAAATTAAAGGCCAAATTGATGGAAAAGCATTTAGCAGACGTGCTTTGCAAGTATACTATACAATTTTGTATTCAAATAAGACTAAAATTTATAATCAATATTTTGTATATAAATTTCAGAAATAAGAATCATAATCAGCAACTTGGATTTAAGTAATTATAAATAAACATTTTATATTAAAAAATGAATCAAAATGCTGAAGAACTTTATCAACTTAGACAAAAATATATAAATAGCGAATATATTGGAATAGATAGAAAAAAAGCTTTTGAGTATTTTAGAAAGGCAGCTGATTTGGGTTATTTATGTGCTTTAGGTGAATGTTATCGATTTGGAATCGGTGTTGAAAAAGATGAACAGATGACATTCGAATACTATCAAAAAGCTGCTAATATATGTGATACTACAAAAATATATACTATTGTATTATATTATCAAGATGGAATTGGAGTCAAAATAGATAAACAAAAAGCATTCAAATATTATCAAAAAAGTGCTAATATGGGTAATGTTTGTGGAATATGTTATGTTGGAGATTGTTATCAAGCTGGAAATGGAGTTGTAAAGGACAACCAAAAAGCATTTGAATATTTTTAAAAAGCTGCAAGCATGCGTTATGCTAAAGGAACAAATTATGTTAGATTTTTTTATGATCATGGAATTGGAGTTTATAAGAATGAAAAAAAAGCATTCGAATATTATAAAAAATCAGCAAAGATGAAATATATTATTAAAGTATATTGCATTGGATATTGTTATGAAAATGGAGTTGGAGTCGAAGAAGATGAACATAAGGCATTCGAATACTATAAAAAATCAGCAAAGATGGGATATCCTAATGCAATGTATCGTGTTGATGAATATTACCAGAAAGGAGATGTTGTTGAAAAGGATATAGATATTGCTTTCGAATGGTATTTAAAGTGCGCTATCACTGAAAAAGCCAATACTATTAACAAAAAACAAGAATATTTTCATTAGATGGCATAACTATATAATCTTTATTTTTATCTAAATAATTTAAATATAATATTTTTTTTAGTTAAAAGCTTACTATAGCTTAGAACAATATTTGGGAATATCAAGAGATGAAAAACGGATAATTATATTTTAGTAATGAGTTACGCAAAATATAGTTCATTAAGCAAAAATCTTGCTGATATCTTCAAGTTTGAATAGAAAATTAAATTAAAGATACTTAATGATATCATATCCAATCTTAATCATATTCATTATAGAAGATATTTATATCAAGATTTATATCTGGGAATATCTTGTTAAAAAAAGATTAGCTAGTATATATTACCGATCTAGGTTTATCAAAACCACTTGATGAGAAAGAACATGGAGATCATATTCATGGTGTCTTGCCTTACATCACTCCTAAACTATTTCAAAGAAAACCATACACTCAAGCAATAGATATTTATTCATTTGGAGTCATCATAGTAAAAATAACAACTTGACAGAGACCTTTTAATAGTTATAAATTTGATAGAGATATTGTGATTATGATTTGTCAAGGATTGTGACCAAATTTTGGAATCGGAACTCCTAATTATTATGTTGAATTAGCAAATCGATGCATGGATTCAAATCCAGAAAAACGGACAACTACTAATGAAATTATTACTAAATTAAATAAATGGTTGGAAATTTTGAATGAAAATTCTGAAAATAAAATCAAAAATCAGTTTTTAGAAAGTGATAAGATTAACAAAAATTATACAATAATTAAAGAAGAGCTAAAAAATATATACATTAGCAAACCATTTAACACTTTGGAAATTAGTGAAAGTTTATCAAAACTAAATCTTAGTAAATCTGCTAGCATAGATGTTCTAAATAATATTTAACATTTATTTTGCTTTTTATTATTCTTTTGTTAAATCTTTTTTTATATATAGAATAAATTATATCAGTTAAATTATTTAAAAATACTCTATATAAAAATTTTAGTTATTTAATACAATAATTTTCTAAACTATCTATAATTTGGTATAGGGTTGAATATTTGTTTAAAGTTAGAGATGTGATCTGGAATATCCTCTAATTTAATTATACAACAAAATTATTATAAAGAATCTTTAGCTTTAAATAGAAAAATAGATAATGAATTGCATCTCTATCAAACCCAAACTAGTTTGTAAACTTTTAAACTGAACTCGAACCAAACTATTAGTTGTGTTTGAGTCTGGTTTAAGTTCGAATAATAAAGTTTGGTTCTGGTTTGAGTTTGAAGATCTGCAAAATTTTGAGTTTGAGTCTGGGTTTGATCAGACTCGAACTCGAACTCTATCGGACTCGAACCGGACATGTGAACACTAATACATATTACCTTGAACATTCACTTCGTCTTAGACAGCAAATCAACCAAGCTTCAAAAAGAAGATACGAAAT